TTATTTTATTATATCTATCAAATCAAAAAGGGAAAAATGAGCAGTAAGAGATAAAATGAAATAAATTGAATGCAATGATATTATAAAATAAAATTTTCATGCAATTTATTTAATTTTATATTTCATCTATGAGTTTTCACTTTTTATTTTATAGTCGATTGTTTGTTTTTTCTAAAAAGAAAAAAATTCGTTAATATATTATAATATAATTTAAATTTGTAACTAAAGAAAAATTTATTTGATTTTAGGTAATATATATTTTGCTTTTTGATTAAAAGACATTAATTAATAAAAAATAAATGAATATTATATATTATAAAATATATATTTTTAAAAGTTAGTTAATTATCATTTAATTTTCATAAAAAATAAATTATAGTTATTTTTTTTAAATTACATTAATTAGAATAATTTAAATATGTCATTTTTTAAGTTACTTAATTTCAATTAAATTTTCATAAAAATTCTTACATTTAGTTTTTTTTCACTATTACATTTTTTAAAAAATAAAATATATTTTTTTATATATTTTTTTTAATTTTTAATTTTAATATAATTTTCACAAAAATTCCGATTTTAGTTATTTTTTCAATATAACGTTAATTAATAAAAAATAAATATACATATATTATATATTTTAAAATATCTATTTTTAATATACTTAATTATATGTAATTTAATTTTCATAAAAATAGCTTTTAGTTATTTTTTTCATTATTGCATTAATAAAAAAAATTTATTTAAATAAATTAAATATATTATTTTTTTAATTTACTTATTTTTAATTAAATTTTCATAAACATTATTGATTTAGTTACTTTTTCAATATTACATTAATTCATCATATCCTGTTACTTTTAAAATTTTAACCACATTATCGTTCAATGGCAAGCAACTTCGCTATTAGACTCGCACCTTTGTACCTCAAGTCAACAACCATTGCACATAGTTTTTATTATTACTATTATCATTACTTTGCATCAGCATATTTGTTGTTATTTGACAGCATCAGCTGTCTTTTAGTCATCATTCAGCTCACGCCTCAAATTAACACCTTTAAAGTATATATATTTAGTATTTCAAATGTCATCATACTTTTACGATCCGTTCGTACGTGAGACTTTTTTAAAGCTCAAATCCAGCGCATTTCTTTACGCCAGACAATTAATTATGCCAGGAGTACAGCCAAACTGCGAGCAGCTGTACTTAGTCTATTACAGAGTTCGACGGTTCCTAAAAGCGAGTAGGGATCCTTGCGGTTGCGCTTTCTAACAGCTGCCGATGTCCCTCACTCGGCCTGATGAGTTATGCCACATTCGTTATGCCTAACCGAATGCTATTTTTCTGACGCAAGGATCTATGCGATTGCGCTGTGAATTTGTAATTTTCTTCCGGCAGTCACGTGGTCACCTGTAAGTGACAGGCGACACGAAGAATAACAGCAACGAAATGTCAGCTGTAAATTTTTAGAATGAACGCCTTCGGATGGCTTCCACATTTGTTTGTTATACATTGACAATAAGCCTCTAAACAATGTGATGTCACAACAAAAATAAAAGCAAAAACAAAAGAGAAAAAGGTGTGATGCTAATCAATTGCTTAGCGGCTGACAATGTTGTGAAATGGCAGTGAATGGAAATTTATTGTGTTTGCCATCTTACTTTACGCCAATTTCACGACACAGCGTAATTTGCAAAAATAAAAGCAAAAAAAAAACAAAAACAGTTAAAAGAAAAACTCCTAAATGGGTTTTGCGTAGCCCGCAAATTGGCAGGATCGCTTTAACGATCGATCATCAGCTGACACACACAAGCGAAACTAATCAACTTCACACCGCCTGCTGTGCAGTTATCACAACAAACCCATCGAAGGACTCATTAAACATAATCTCACTGTTGGTAGCACAAATGCGTTTGGTCCCTCGGTCGGTCGCTCGCTCGCTCGTCTTCGTCAGTATTCCATTGATGAAGTTGTGATTTTCGGCGTCTGTGCGGTTTCAAATACAGCTGCAGAGAGTCACACTCCACACACACACATACACATACATATATATGTATACAAATGTATAGATACGCTTGCGAAGTCCTTTTCCATTGCTTTCTAATATCTGCTGTCTGTCATTTGAAGTTTACTGTCTGCTGTCGTCTATACACCGCCGATTGCCTTCTGCTTAAGCAGCTGTTCGCTTCTTTTCGCCGTTTATCACGCTCCGCAGCGCAGCGCTCGGCATGTGTAATTGTAATTACGTGCTTTGTAGCGTTGGCGTGTAAACACTGATCCTTGATTATGCTTTTTTTCCCTTTACACGCACATACACACATACATACTTTAACTGCCGTTACTTATTTGTATTTTCATGAAACTTAATGACGCTTACTCGCTCCACTTGCATTGTTCTTCAATCGTTTTTGTTGCTTTTGTTGTTTGTGTGTATATTTGAGCCCGAAACAAAAATGTTGCACATTAGCAAATAGCTTCATTGCCATTTGTCACTTCTTTGGAGCTTTGTCTTTTATCTCTTCATTAGCAAACTATTTGTTTAATATGTAAAAGGATAAAAGCATTCCGCCGCCAATAAATGATGCGAAGGTCGTTTGTAGTTGTTGTTTACTATGCTTACAGCACCCGAACCCTTGTTAGTGTTGAAATATTTGCAATTAAAGAAATTCAACTATATTTGAACGGGTGATTTTTGAAAGAACCTTGGTGTGAGTTTATCTAAAGCATCAATGGATTACGCTTATCTTTGCTTTGTGGGGCACATTTGTGTTTGTTTTCATAAAGAAGCGTGACAACTAAAATGAAGCAGTTTCTTATCGAAAGCATTCAGTAGGGGGGGTTTGCTCAATATACTATCTAGAAAGAAACTGTTTTATGGTCATATGGCATAATTAAGTAATAATAAATCGTTGGGTGTTGGACTTAGGACTCAAAGCAGTATAGTAACGCGCGAGTTGTAAATTGTCTAGAATATAGGATATAGGATATCGAATGTAGCATGCTTTTAGGCGCCGAAATTTTTTAAAATTGATTAGCGCAATTTTTAGTTGAAACTAAACAAATTTTAGTTATTTTGAATGAAACCTAATCTAATGTGAGCAAAAAATTTTGTCGGCTCGTAAATAATTTACAATATCTGCTTATTTAAGAAATAATATTGAAAAGTCAACAGTATTTTTATTGTATCTGTTGTTGTAACCAGCACATAAAATAAAGCCAATAATTTTTGGAAAATGATGCAAGTGCTCAAATCGACATTGTTGTAGCATATTTTTCTTGTTTGTTTTATCCATTTAAAGCTTAACCGCCAAAGCTCTTAAGGTATTATATTCGCTTGCGAGTTTATTGTTTTTGAAGAGGCATTTTATGTAACAAATAAATTTAAGAATTGCACAATTGAAGTTATCTGAAGTTAAAAAATAATAATTATTATTAATTAATTTTGAAATCAAATTGATTAACAAATTATATTTCCATTAAGGGGCACACCTATCGTGACAGCTCGAACACGTCGATTTTTGGGAATCGTAAAAGAAAAAACTACTGTATCGATTGTTTTGAAATTGTCTGGATATATTTATACATGTTTCAAGAATATACAGTGAAATAAGAGATCTCCGAGACGCTAAAAAAAAGGTGCTTTACGGCTGCAGTGATTTCGGCCTTCTTCGTGGATGAAAAACCCAAAAATAAAAAATTCTTGTTAAACTAGAAGATATTCTCCGTACACGTCTATAAAACAGAAATTGAAAAAATTTCGGTGTTTTTGAAAAAAAAAAATTTTTAACCTAAATTTTGTTTGTTTTGGGCCTGCCACAATTCGATTTTGAACACATCAAAAAACCGATTTAATTATTATATGAAGAGTTATATACTAAACAGACAGGAAAATATTTCATGACGATAATTTATCTTGGAGTTATCACTGCAACTAATTCGAAAAATTTGGCGCGTTTAAAAATTAGCGGTTGGAGCGGATTGAACTGAGCGGCTACGCTTTAAATGGCTGTAACTCAAAAAAAAAATTGCGATATCGCTTTGGAATTTCAAAATGTTATTTTTAAAGGCATAAACTATTGAAATATTTAAAAAAGTAGATTGTTTCAAAATTTCACACTAGGTGTGCCGCTTAAAAACTGTTTTAGCGGTGTTTTGTAATAAAAAAAATATTTTTATTTGCTCATAATTATTAATTAAATTATTAAATAATATTTAATTAATTTTGTAACAATTTATATTATTTTTTATTGTATATTTTAAATTTCATATATAATGACTTTGTGTTTTATTATATTTATTTAATTTTATTAATAATATTTAGCTTATTTCACTTAAGAATTTTTCATAATAATTTTATTTTAGTTGATTTTTTGTTCTTATATTCACTTGTCAATATTGAATATCGTTTATTTACCTCTATGTTTGCCTATTTTTTACGTTTTTTCACTCAGTCAACAGTTGTTTTGGAATAATTTACAATTATTTTACTTTGGCTTGAATTCGCAACATCCACTTACAACTTTGACTTGCCAGCATTAAGCTGCAACGCACATAACCTATAATTTAGAGACGATAATCTGCGCTACAATTTATATTTAGCATTTTATACTGCCAGCTGAAGCTGCTAAGCACATGTTTACATGCCTACATGCTTATCAATAAGCACTAGTATTTAGAAGTTTTTTCCAGCTGTTCGATTGCCATACATACATATGCACATAGTATTTATCTTTAATATGCTGTTGTTTATTCAATTTCGTAGTTTAAGCACTTTATTAATCCGTTTTTTGGTCCTACTACGCTCTGCTTATTGTTGCACACACACATCCATTTATAGGCATATACATATACACGTGTGTACTCGCATTGCATTTTTTTTTTTTTTTTTGCCTAGTTTAGCTATTCGGCAGCCTTATCTTTATTTACACATTTCTGCTTCTAATTGTAATTGAATTGAATTTCATAATTACTAAAAGCATATTCTTTGCCATTATCCACAGCGCACATGAAGAGCCATATGCCTTTGGGCGTTTTTATGTCCGACGATGCCATCCAGCTGCCACAACCGACGGCTGGTGTTGAGGCAGAACACCAACAGTCAGTATCCGACTATATCGAAGAAGAGGATGAGGAGGAGATGGTGGCAGCGGTGGCGCATGAAGAGGAGATTGTGGTGGAGCAGCAGCAGTCGCAAATCGAAATTGAACAACCACAAGCGCAAGCTATACGCGAACAACAAGAACTGGAGCAGCTGCTTGAAGATGAGCAGGAACAAGACATGGAGGAACCACAAACGGCTGAAGCACATGTTGATGTTGATGATGAAATGGCCGGCACGCCAATGACGATGGATAGTGTTGCTGAGCAGCAGGAGCAACAAGTGCTGGATGAGCACGAGGCGACAGTGGGCAATGAGTCAGCACTGCAACAACAACAACAACAACAACAACAACAGCAGCAACAAAATGCTGATGAATTAGTGTTTGCGGCCAGCTGTAGTCCCAGCACCACAACCGGCGCCAGTCCGTATGCCTTTGCGACAGATGCCAGCAGTCATTTTAATCAATCCGATATAAGCACCACCAGCAACACTGGCACCCAAGGCAACAACAGCGCCGCAAACAGCAGTTGCATTGAAGCTGCTAACGGTTGCAGCAGTAGCGCTAAATAGTCTCCGGCCATTGCGTACATTGTAGGCCAAAAGCCACCGACAATTGTGCTCTACTATTGTGCGGAGAAATAACAGGAGGCGACGGTGTCGGAGGGGAAGGGGGAGCGGGTGATGGATTCGGTGAGCAAGCAATATGTTACAACTAGTAGTGCGACTGTGTAACCGCGCGGGAAGTGAGGGAATGAGCACTTAAATACGTCCTATCACTCGCTTTTAGCCCTACAACAAAACCAACAAATATTGTAGTATCTACTCTGACCTAAATTGACTACCATATTACTCAAGCCAATTTTCTTATCCAGCAATTCAATGCTTACATTTGTATTTTCAATTTGCTTAACTTAGCCTTGCGCTTGCGAGCTTTTGAATTTTGCTAGATAAAAATTCATTCAATTATTTTATTTTATTTAAGTTGGAGAAATATGAAATTTTAAAGCAGCATGTATTATTAGATGCATTACTGAGTCCATAAAAAAATGTAAAATAATTTATAAAAAAAAAAATTAATTGCAATTTAATGAGTGTAATTATAATTTTATTGACTCATTTAAGGCATTAATTAAAGGATAAACTAGAAAAATAATTGAAAAATAAATAAATTGTACTGAAATGTAAAACCTTATAATAATTTCCATATTTATTTTATAAAATTAGATTATATAAGCATTACTGAAAATTACTTAAAATATGAATCATAGCATATCAAGCTTTCCTTTATTAGATTTAATTTGATATCGGCACAATTTTGCTCTCCGCTAAATACTAATAATTGTTGCTTATTACGACTTTATTTAATTTAATTATAATTATAATTATGAAAAATTAATTATAAAAAAAATTTACTCTAAACGCACACCTACTTTATTTATAATCAAACACATTGTTTATACTAAATACGAGTACTTCATACATTCTCTTTTGTGTCCCACCAACCAAATGCCATTTCCATTTTTCTTATATAATATATACATACATATTATTGATAAACACACTTCCATTCAATGAAAACTTTGAGCTGTAATTTGCCATTGCGCCAAAAAATATATATTTTGGAAAAAAATAAATAAAAATCGTTACATTCAAGCGCGTAATTTTTAAGTAAATGTATATTGTATGTATGTAATTTTATTTAAAATTCAAAATCATAATAATTCAATGCTTAGTAGCCATATGTTATATAATATAATAAATTCAAATTAATTAAAATTAAAACAAAGCATAAACTTAAAAATTTTAAAATTATGAAAATGTCTCCAGTTACAAAAAGACTTCAAAACAAAATTTCCAAATTTAAAAAATAACTATTGTATGTAAACTAAACACAAACACAAAATTAGATTGTACAATTATCTGTGTAAGAAGCTTTTCAGCTGTGTTAAATGTAAATATTGTAGCGAAAGTTACTATAATTGTGCATAACACACGCTGATGTATGTACATATTGTCATTGATATACATATTCGCCATACATCAATCCATTCCATAGCCATTATTGCTATGCAGTTGCTTGACGACCGTTATGTATGTATATTATCATAATTGTGTGTTGATATGCATTACATATAAAAATCTCGTCCAGCTATTTTCTTTATAAAAATAATTCTTTGCTGTTAATATTATGCTTAGATATCATATAAGTACTTAAGTAATTAGTTTATTGCATTGTTCATTATATTTCATTTATTGTTATATTTATTTGAAGAATTAACATTTTAAGGTTTAGTTTATCATTTTGTAATAATTTTTATGCATACATACATATGTATATGTATATGATACATATATATATTTTTTGTTATTATTATATTATTATTATTGTACTTGTTTTTTTGTTGGAGTAATTTTATTTTTATTTAAAATTAATATTAAATTTTTTTTAAATTAATTTATTTTAATTTGTTTAAAAATTTTTTTTTAATGTTTTTTCATTATTACTATTTTGTTTGGTTTTTGAGTTCGATTTCAATTTTCTTGCAATATATTGCAAAAAGTATAATAGTTTTCTGAACTGCACTTGGTTTTTTGCTTAAATTCAGTTTGGGGATCGTGTTTATTTATTATTATTAAATGTTATTTTATATTTTAAAAGAATTTTTTTAAGTTTTTTTTTATTTTATTTTTTTTGTTAACCTTTATGTTAGTAACCAACTTTACCGACGTCTTTTAGCAACCGGGTATCGAGGTACGATCTGAGTATTATTATTATTTTGTTTATTTTATTAAAAAAAAGTTAGAAAAAGTAGTTAGAAAAAAAATTTTCTTCAAATATTATTAGTCAGTGATAATTTAAAGAAAAAAATAACAACGTAGAATAAAAAAATAAAAAAATGAACTCACAAATAGCTTTCTTAAGTTAAAAAACGACGATTTGAAATATTGAAATTTTTAAGCTATTCACACAAATACACCGCGGTAGGTACCCGGGTACCCGGTTACTAACATAAGGGTTAAGCTATTCACTATTTCATTATGCTTGGTTTTTTAATTCTATTTCTAGTTTCCTATATTAACGTATAATTGATTTCTTTATAGAATTTTATTGGTAAGATCATTTCTATATATATATTTTTTTTAAATTTTTGCTCAATTATTTTTATTATTTATTTTATTCTTAGTATTATACATATTAGTAAATATAATAATAATTATTAGTTTTCCTTTTTTATTTTAATTTTTATGTTTTCTTACCTCTATTTGCTTTTATATTTTTTCTTAAACTTCTTTTTAAATTGTAAAATTAATTATTAAAATGCTTGGCGGCTACTAAAATATACTCAAATATTTCTACTCGCCATAAAGTTGACAACTAAAGCTTTAGAGTATAAAATGAAAAAAAAAAAGAATTTTAACTGAATTTAAAAAATATGATTTTTAAAAAGTTTTCAAAAACATAAACTGCTTGCAACTATAGATAATATTTTTATTAAATGGATTATAATTCTATTAATTATTTTCAATGACTAGGAGATACATTTAATTCATAATTTTTAACAACAGTTTCCAATTTTTATTACAATATAGATCTAAAAATGCTCTTGGAAGTTTTTCCTTAATTTTAGTTTTTATGAAATATTTAAACGAATTATCTTCATATTGGAAATATTTTTGTTTTAGTCTAAACAAAAAAAAATTGTTTATTATTTATCTTTTTTTATATTATTTTTCATATTTTTTTACTAAAATTATTATATTATTTCATTTTATTATATATTTCCAAAAAAATATATATTTCTTTCAAAAATTGCATTCCAAAAATTCCATTCTTATAGCTTTCACGGTTATAGCAGCTATCTTGAACAACTAACGTCTACTTGCCTAGAAAATATACAAAATTAAATTATATAAACGTAAGTTCGCGTTGCTATAACTATCAAAAAAATGAGTTTCCATCGTTAACAAAAATGATTGGTTTTGCTAAAAAACAGCCGAAATCGATTTCATATGTTTTCATGCAAATATATATAATTAGGCAGCATTAATAATTATTTTTCTGCTATAATTTTACTATAATATCGGTAACTACTTATTTAGTTATCAATACATGCAAACAATTTTTTTATCTCGACATTCAAAAATTACATTATTTCATGCCTCATTCAAGTGACCGCCAGCGTTTTCATTCAAATATTTAAACCAATTATTATTAACCCCACTTTTATTCTTATTAGCATTAATAACTGTTATTATTATCATTCATATTATTATTATCATAAATATTATTATTATTTTTATAATTCCTATTCTATTTTTTTTTTGTTTGCGGATGAAGAGAAGAAAACTGCCACCGCATCGTCATTGCGTCGTCACAGCAATGGTATGCGCCACTTGCAGGTCACTAGGTATAATTATGACTCTTATAATTTAAATTATTAATATTAATGCACAATTTCCATTAATTTTAATCAAAAAGTCTGCATGCATCATATGTACATATGTATATTCAGAAATGATCCAACAAAGAAATGAACTCTAGTGCCTAAATATGAATATTAAAATTTCTTGTTTTTATTATTAAAAAAAAAAAGAAAAAAAAAACAAATACATGCTCATGTTTGTGTAATAATTATAAATATTAAATATTTTTTGTAAATAAAAAACATATGCATCTCAATGTACACGCTATACATACTCGTACATAGATTTTATATCAACGTCAGCTTGTGAAATGCTTCAGAAATTAACAATTAGCAAAAAATTAATTATACGTATGAGCTTAAATAATTTAACTGAAGCAAAAAAATCAAAAAGAATAGTTATATTTCTTAAACAAACAAATAGCACCAAAAATCTGCGTCGCTTATTTCGCTACAAATCTTAAATATATTTTAATAATGGTTTCAATCGTGTATTAATTTATTAAAAGATCAAAAAATAAATTATTTATAGGTTATTAATTTGTTTATGTAAAATAATTGAATAATTTTAAAGTTATTAATAAAATTGTTACATAATGCAATGTACAATTTTTTGCTGTAAAACTAGTTTCTAAACTTCTTTATAAATTATAAATATACATAAAATGTTTTTTTGTGAAAAAAAATGTATAAAACAAAAAAAAAATATTAGTAAGTAGCAGTAATAAAATGAAGTTCCACTTTAAAGACTTAAGTAATTTTTTAAAAACTGATATAATTTATTAATATTAATATTTATAAATATTATAAACAATTAATTTACTGCTGCCAAAAAAGCGCGTAACAAAAAACAGCAAAAACTGAAAACATGCCAACATACTTCTTTATTTATGTAAATGTGAATTATAAGCATATTCAAATTGAATTACTAAAAATTACCTATAATTGCTAAGATTAACTATATTTCATGCTAATTTTAATTACATACATAAGTACTTCTACAATACATACTTGTATATAATTTATTATTATACTTATATATATATACTTTGAAATGAAAGAAAATATTTATTTTACATTAAAAGAAAACAAAATCAAAGCATGCAACATGGAGCAACAAAAACACAGAAATTGTAGTTGCTAGAAAGCAAGTATGTACTCGTGCGTATATATATGTAAAGTTATGTATAATTGTAGAAAATAGCATATTTACATAAATGTTAGGTGTTACTTTTAAGGCTTAAGTAATTAGTTGTGTAACTAGTAACTATAAATGTAACTACTCTTATTAATGGTTGAATTGGTGCAGGTCCATTTCCAAGCCTGGCGCTTTTATTATAAATTTTAATATTGAATTCAAAAGATGAAGCAATAATTTTTATGCAATAATAAATAAAAGAACGTGGTTTTCTTGTTTATGCAAAATAATATTAAAAAAAAAAACTGTTTTTCATTCAAAGTATTTCCATTAGGACTTTTATATCCTGAACAGGATTTATTTAGTTTGCCACGAAATTTGTAACACATAGCATGAAACGTCGGAGACCCTAAAAGAAATATATACATATAAATTGTCAGCAGACGAGCTGAGTCGGTGTCTGCCCGTACGCTTAGCTGTATAACTGTAAGCTCAGCTTCTGAGCTATTACTCTGAAAATTTTCACATGTCCGTTTCTTAGACTAAAAAACTTACTAATCCAGATACCGGCTCTTGTCCGTATAAAATCCGGGTCAATTTCGCTAACGTTGAACCGGCTGTGGTGGGAATCGTGCCCATTTCTTCCCAAGAAGCTGCTAATTTGTCAGAACCGCTGCCATGCAAACTGATCGATCAAAATCAAGTACTTGTATGGAAAACCTTTTCATTTGACGAGATACCTTCACGAAATTTGCTGTTAATTATCGTCCAGCAACGATACGTCCGATTATAAAAACCTGCTGATGAACAATTGGTGCGTATAGGAAACTTATTAAAATTCTCGCAATATTGTCGTAGACTTACTGTTACATTCACTTTTCAAAAAGGAAGAAAATATTGTTCAACTTATATTTCTCACATATATTTTTCTACCTAAATGCTTACAGCAAGCCATTTTTATTATTGTAACGTTGCCCCATAATTATTGTTTTAATATTTCATATATATATGTGTAAGTATGTACTTAAGCTAATTTCGGTACAAAAAAAGTATTAATTACATATTATATGTAAAAATGCATGTTAAAGTGACTGCGTACGACTGTTATAAATAATTACAAAATATTTCAAGTTAAATAGCTTAGTATTTTTAACAGACGTATGCCGTTTAAAAACATAAGTTTCTATGAATTAAAAATATTTCAAATTTCACAACAAATATTAAGGTAATATAATATAATGTTGGCTTATTATATACTAGTACGACGCTTTAAATTCACACTACTTTCATAACATAATTTCAGTCGTAGTACCAATCGAGGAAGAGTAAAGCAAATGACATTACTAATAAGAAAAACAGTGACCACACACGTAGGCCAGCATTGCGTTGTATAGCTTGTTTGATCTGCTCATTCGCATCTTTGACATTTTCCGTTGCTCCAATAACAGCGTTTGCGATACGCTCAATATTGTGTTGCTGTAGGGAAACCTAATTGTATGCAGAGAATATAAATTTATTATATATTAAAATACGATCATTTTTTAAATATCTAGAACACACCTTCTCAGTAAAAATGTCTTGTAATTGCGCTATGTCCACTACATTTTTCTCAATTTGCTCCACTTCTTCAGCCACACCTTGCAATTCATGGTAGAGTTGCATATTCTCCTGTTCGAACATTTGCACATCTTCAGGTGAAAGTGTTTTAGCTGCTTCCGCCTCATCTTCCAATTGCTGTGACTTTTGCAAATCCTCGTCTACGGCCACCTTTTGTGTAGATTGAGTTAACTTAAGTTCACCACCGCTACCAATATTATCTTCAGTTTTGCTGTGCGGATGACGGTGTCGTAGTTGTGGACCATTCGTGTTTAAATTTTCATCGCTACTAATATATCCGTTTTTACTAGCATCAGCCGCGTTGTTTAGTTCGTTTTTATAACTATTAGCGTTTAAGTCATCGTCATCTGCCCAATCGCCTTGTAAATCTGACACATCTTCACCCAAATCACTGCGTGGTCGTAATTCATCGACTACATCATCCGCGTCGTTGCTGCTGCTTGTTGACTGTCGTATTAAACGCCTTCCACTATGCTCAGCAGCTGGTCGCATTGGTATCTTCTTCTTATCAGGTGCTAATTTTAAAAGTTTATAGGTATCCAATTCATATTGCACACGATAACGTTTTTGTTCCAAAAAGATTTGTTGTACGCTGTGTAGATAGCGTTCTAACAAATCGATTACTGCTTCAATATGTTGTTGCTGTTGTGCTTTTCTTTTCGCACGTTTCCAATCGGCGCGCATTTGTGCCAAATGTTGCGTATAATATGCTACGAATTTTTCTGATTCTCGGTCAATTAGATCGCGCTGTTCATCGCTCATATGGGTAGCACTCTTCAGGTGTTGACCTATACGCATATACGCTGCACGATTCTCCACCAACACATTACGCAATGTTGTAATTTTGTGACACACATCCTTTGCTTGTCTGGTGAAATCATCGCGTTGACCAGTTCCAACAACAGCGCCGCTCTTGGATAGAATGCGTTGTTTGTCCACTGATTGTGGTGGCAGTTCACCTTTGCGCTGTAATTTCACTGTCATTACACCGGCTTTGAATTTTTGCGTTATATCCATGTTGTGGTGGGTTGGTAAGGCTTGAATACAATGCTACATTAAGAAAATCGTAACGTCTACAACAAAAAAGTTTTACTTTTATAATTCTTTTATATACTTATAAATGTTTTGTGTAAATTATAAATTATAATTAAAAAACCACGTCCACTGACACATCACTGCTTGGCTAAGTTTGACAGCTGCGCTCAGCTGTTTGTAGTAGTGTTGATAAACGGCGGTAGCGAAAGCGAGATACTCGTTCGAGACTCGTTTAACAACCCCGGAAACTAGTGTAAGTCAAATGGTTTCGAAATAATTGTGTCAAAAATTATTAACTTTAATTGCAAATAATGTGAAGCTTTTTATATATTTGCTAACAGTTGGTTTTACTATATGTATGGTAAAAAGTGCTCCGGCTGAGAAACTCAACACAACAAGCCGGAAATCTCAAATCTTTACCATAGTACTCACATCCTCCACTAAAAGGATCAAATTGGACTTCTACGGAAAGTACAATCACTTTGCAAAAATTTGAAAAAAGAAGAAATTCACTGTGACCAAATGAATGTAAAAATTCTGCAACCTTTGTCTGTTTCTTGCATGGTAAGCGCGTTTGGCAGAAAATAATTTTTAAATTATCTGGAATGTCTGGAATTTAAATATTTGCAAGTGTACGTGTTTAGTTTAAACACTTCAGTGATTTTCAAATTATGAAATTGCAATATGCAAGAATACAAATTTTGATACTAACTCCCTCCAGGCTATTTCAACTTGCCGAAAATATAATCGAATTGAATACTAGGCAAACGTTTATGGTTATATGTATACATACATATGTACTTACATACATACCATAGCACATATGTATGTTGAAAACTAATGTAAATTAATCTAGTCGCTTTTAATAAAAATTCACTATATTAATGACTAGTTTAAAAATTGTTTATTGCATCTCAAAAATGTTGGAAATAAATTTAATAACTAAATATATTTTGTATTATACATTTATTTTAGGTACATTATTATACTCGTTTAATCATTGTAGTGATATCATTTTAAATCACATACATACATATTAAAATATATAGATATGATTATGGCCAATACTCGCTCATCTTGTTACATTTCGATAAATTAAAGTATTATCATGTAAAACTCATTGAAATATGAGTTGTAAAATATTCAGGATAGTTTTTATTTAAATTATTGACATTTACTATTATTTTATACTTTTTTTTATATATTTTCTTTACAACATTTATCATCTAACTGGTGATTTTTTGTTTATATTATCCAACTGTCCAGCCAGTTCGTCTAACTGTTACAGTGATAAATATTTTATTTTTTATTAATAAATACATATATATGTTTGTATATTGGTGTATACAATATTTTGCACTTAATTACTAAATGTAAAAATAGTTTATTTTCTTTTTTTACAACATTACAATATTTAATAAAAAGAATACAATAATAAAACAAAGCGAAAGAACTCAAAGTTCTCTCTACCCGCCCAACTATCTAGATCAACCTGTCAAAATCGACTGTATTCCAACAACTTCAACGCTGATTACCAAATAATTTCTTTGCTGCACCAAAAAGCAGTCGACTTTAAGGCGTACAAAAAAGAAGTATCAGGAATAAATAGTATATTATTAGACTTGAATTGAGTTTTTCTAATTTATAAACGTTTTTTTTCTAATTTTTGTTGCTGCTATTGGGTTTACAATTTCTACGCCATCTATCACTTGGTCATTCACAATGTCATTCCAACATAACCTATAACAATGTGCATTGCTTCGGTTTAGCACTTGGTTTCTTCTCCACAGATCTGACTGCCTCTTCGAAGACTTGATTTAGATTGATCTTCTTTTTGGCCGAACATTCTACCAGCGTGTGCGCATGAATTTCCTTGCGCAAACGACGTCCCTCGCTTGTCGTCACGAATTTCTCCGAATTGGGTACTCGCAAATCCAACTTGGTGCCGATCAGCACAACGGGAACATTATTGGAGAAATGCCGTATCTCCGGCCACCACTTGCTTTTGATATTCTCAAAAGATGTTCGACTGCTTATCGAATAGCAAAGCAGGAAGCAACTCGTCTACGCGGGAAAAGAAAAAAAAAACATAACATAATGAATGAATGAATGAATTTATCTGCTATGAGTTTGTTTTATATGTAATAAATAGTTGTTGTTTTTGTATTTGTTTGTATGCTTACATTCGGATAACTCAACGGACGTAGGCGCTCGTAGTCCTCTTGCCCGGCTGTATCCCAGAGTGTCAGACTGTATTCATTGCCATCGACCGTAATGTTGCAGGCATGGTTATCGAACACTGTGGGTATGTATTCTTCGGGGAATTCGTTTTGTGTGTATGTGATGAGTAGGCAGGTCTTGCCCACCATACCATCGCCAACAATCGTGATTTTAAGGGGACGTAAACTTCTCGCCATTATTTTGTTGTTGTTGGTGCTGATGCTGATGCTGCAGTTGGTGCTTGGTTTTCACTTGTTTTCTTTGGCGTTGTTGTTGTTTTGTGTAGTGTTGTCGGAAGATATGTATATTGCACCGGCTTGTGCTGCAAAGGAGGAAAAAGTGAAAATATTGAAAAACGTGTGCATTTCACTTGTGGGGAAGAAGATACATATGCCTATGCTTGTATAAATGTCGTTGTGTGTGTTCGATTGCATCTGTTCGTTGGCGCACGAATACGAGCAATTTTTTAGTGAATGAGTTACCCAGCAAACATTATATATAGGCATATATAGGGATATAATTCGTCTTGCCATAAAGCGAGAACAAATTTGCATAAAAAGCACCGTTATTTTGTATTTAAATATGTACGCAGTCTCAACGCATATTTTATAAACAGTTCAGTGTTTGCTTTCGCTTATTAAGATGTGGAGCTAAAAGAAAATTTTGTTGTGGCGATTGCCTTATATCACATAAGTGTGGAAAGACGCATGGAAAATCTATGAGCTTCTCATAGATGCATTCTCAAAAAACTTAATATTTTGTTACACCTCTTCACTTCTGTGAAAATGAGGTTAAAACTAGGACAAAAGCGTAACAGCAGTATGTATTAAAATGCGTGTTAAAGCAGCTAAGAATTACTCTCTTTGATGGAGAGAATAAAATTTTATACATCGCACATTTAATATATGCGTAACAAATTAACTTTATTCACAAATGTAATATAGTTATTTTTATATAACGGTCTGAATTTGTAACAGAACTTATGGCCGGACTAAATATATATTTATAAATGAATTAATTTTGTTTTAATTTTTACAATTACTTTTGGTTTGGTTTTTATATTCTTACATATATATGTGTACATATGTATGTTTGTATTTAATTTAATTTTTTATCGTAATTTTGTGCTTTATGTGTATCATTTTGTTGCATATTTTATTATAATTTGTATAGCAAACTATTTTTTTTAATTTGAAATGAACATATTATTTTGTATTACAATATTTTTAATTTCTCATCCATATGTACTTATCTTAGTATCATACTATATTAAAGTGTCCAAAGCTATGAATCGTTCACTGGGTACTTCAACACTTTGCCAAACAGTGTCTACCGCCATATTTACTTGTTATTTTTGTAATTGCATTCCTTATGTTTTTTATATGTTTTATCGACGTATCGCTATTGCCACTATTTTCAAATGTTCAGACACACCCCACATAGCAAGCAATATGGTTGCACATGCGCCCCACTGCTGTTGCAGCTGCCGCTTCCTCCACAGCTGCGCCGCCTCAAGAGAGAGTGTGTGGCGCGCCGACCACTCCAATTGGAGCTACAACAACAATACCAAAAAACAACCGGCAGTGCGCTGCCATCGTCACCGGAAATGTTAAGCAAAATTGTAAACAAAATTATCGTAATTTGAATGTGAGGAAAGCGAAGCAAGTAATGGAAAAGGAAGAGAAGATTTTTGCGAAATCAATCATTGCATTATTCGTATGTACATATGGTATATATTTGTCACGAACAATTATGTGCTACTACGTTTCAAAAGAATACTTGTCACCGTTGACTGACCTCTTTTCGAACTTATTTTTATTATTATTAGCATAGCTACTATTCTCATGTAAATTGAAGAAATCGCTATGTTTGCTCCACATTGATATCTTTTAATTAAGTGAGTTACGCACAAGTTGAATGCGTTCGTAAAACACCCTAGGAACGTCATAAATTAAACTAGTATTAAAAGTTTATTCTTATATGGTTACCACTTTGTAGGCAAGGGGGTTGAAAATTTCATTTTCTATTCAAAATTTTTTAAATTTATAAATTCGCAATCCTGTCTGTGGGTAATGTGGGACTCCAATCATATTTTCGTTTTAAACGTTGAAACTGCAAGGCTGTGTGCCTACTTTTGATCTTCAAACAATAGCTTTGTAACTCTCTCTTCTAAGTTAGAGTGTTAATTAGAGTGGATTTTATCTTTCCTGAGCACTGGTTGAGATGTTCTCGTTTGGAGAAGCTAACCTTCATTCGAATAATTAATTGACCTCAATACATAAAGCTTTTTATATATTGTATATATCGACGTACTGTCGAGTCAGAAATTGAGGTTATGTACATATGTGTATAAAGCATATACAGGCTTCTAAACTTTTAAAAACGTTGGAGTAATGCGAATAATCTATACATAACATACATATATATAGATAAATACTGTATTTCATAACAACCACAGTGCGATAAAGACATATGTATTTACCACTTTTTATAACTTCATAAGGCTTCATTCCACCCATGATAAGTTATGAATTTATTTATAGGCAGTCCTGCAATTTCTATACAAAATCATTTCAGTTATTTAATATTAAATACCAAATTTTTGAGTAAAATTACTTAAAACGCAGTTACATATATATGTACTAACAACATATAGGTAAATATTTAGCGAGTATAGTAGTAGAAACACGATATGAGTATCATCGCTGCGTATCTTATCGCCAATTAACAACACTAACAACAACAATTTAAGAGCCATAACAAAGAAAATATGAATATTGTTAAAAAAAAAACAAGAAAAAACGTTAACTTCGGTTGCACCGAAGCTATAATACCCTACACAAATACAGAAGTTTTCATACCAGAACTTGATTTTGAGTGTTCAGTTTGTATGGCAGCTATATGCTATAATAATCCAAGCTGAATTATTTCTTCGATTGTTGCACCATTGCTTTAGACAATAATCAATGCCAAATTTCATAAAGATATCTTATCAAATAAAATAAAATTTTCATACAAGCACTTGATTCCGATCGTTGTTGTTGTTGTTGTAGTGGCAGAATTCTACCGAGTTGACAGTCCTTGGCCGGAATAAATCCGGGTCCGTTCCGGTTACGTAGACCCGACTGTCGTGGGAACGGAGATTCCGATCGTTCAATTTGTATGGCAGCTATACGCTATAGTGAACCGATATCGGCGGTTTCGACGAATGAGAAGCTTTTTGGAGAGAAAAGAACGTGTGAAAAATTTCAGATCGACATCTCTGATTTGCACTATATCTAATTTATAGGGCGGTTCGACATTTCCTTTTGGGTGTTTCAAATATCGTTGCAAACTTAATATACCCTGTTCAGGGTATACAAATATAAAAAAATTGGATGCACGGGTGCAAAACGACGAATGAAATGGCAAAACGAACTTAAAAAGTGTAATTTATTTGTCAAAGAGTGAGAGGTTTTCTTAAATAAACAAATTCTTAAAATGGTTTTGGTTGCTAACGCAGCAGTACTCAGCTCGTTTGTTCGTATGTGTGTGTGTTTGCATTGAGGGCAAGCATTTTACTACATTCGATTACCTAATCATCAGATGGTATGCTATTCCGCAAAATTCTAAATGGTTTTCGGTCATCATAAGCATTTGGTTTCTGATTAAAAGCAGTACCATGAAATCTATGTAAAATATCGGGCAAGAATTTTAGTTATTAAAAATTATATTACCATATTTAAAAATTTTTAAAAATAATAATAATTTTTTAAAAATAATAATAAATCAAGATAAAAAAATTAAACTCATCAAAATGTCACATTAACTACATATGTAAGTACCTAGAAAAATGAAGTTTCTTTCCGAATATTTTTTTTTTCTATTTCTCAATAACATAACCTATATTAGAAGCGATGAGTATCTATTACTATAAGTATGTATATTATAAATACAGAAACAATGTGAACAATGTACATAGGCTGACCGCGTAAAAATCCCCTGTTGTAATAGAGACTATAGAAAAAAATGTATGCTATCATTCATTTTTTTGAATAACAGTATCATATTATATTTTGATGCCTAACCAGAGTCAATGAATTATCAATGCATTTGACAAACTACAACAGTCGCCAATTATCACTTTGACAGTTTCTGAAGATAATTAATCAGAAAATTAACAGAAAATGGTGATCATATTCCGATCTGATATATATAGCATAATCTTTTACATAAAAGGAAAAAATTTACATAAACCAAGTAAAACAATAAACTGAGCTCAGAAGGCATTTGATACCATCTAACGAACTTTGAATCGACAGCTCGTACAGTGTGCTTTCATTTAAAGATCGTGCAGCTACTTCATGGCTTAGCTGTCTAGATAGCAGTTCGGTATAAAGGTTTATACCAACTCTGTGCTTCCAAAAATAAGACTATAAAGACCTTTTAGATTTTGTTAAAGCCAGAATCCATTAAATTCGACGCCATATAGGATTAAGGTAGAAAGGCGAACATTCCTCAATAAATCCCACTTCACCTCTTCACTGTATTAAATCTTTGTGTCTGGCCTGACTTTTTGAAGTAACCATAACTACAGATTAGCAATGCATACTAAAGCAATTGATAAAACTTTATATATGTGAATAAAATTGATTTAAAGATCCGTACAAAATTCAACCCATCAATTTGTGCAAAAGCTAAGCTATGCTTCCAGATTCCGTCTCTAATCTGTGAACTATTGAATTATTTTATTCAAAAACAAATCTGTTTTCACATTTACACCAATTTCAATATCTTTAGAAGATTTTAAAATTTTCATGTCTGCATATTTCAAAAATCCAAACACTTTGCGTACTAAATGCTATCTGCAGCAATTATTCTATCCTCACACATGAACATACATAATGTATGTGAGTATATACACTTTTCTGCAGCTAGTGCCATAATGGTCCACACTTAACCCGCATCACCCTAGAATCCAAACAATTAAGGTTAATTGAAGCCACTTCATCTTGAAAATCATTAAAATAGTTTCGTATCAATAATTCAAGTATCGACGAAAGGTGGAGGAAAGAGGCTTTATATGTATGTACATAAGTATGTGACTACAAATATGAAGAGCAAAAAAGCAGCTGCAAAAATTCATCCCAAGTATTTGAAATTTAATCGAAAACATGAAAATATCCCATTAACAATTATGAATAGAACATAACTTATTGTTTAACTTCGTCTATTTAATTTGTTCTCTGAAGTACCACATTTTTTTAGTTTATAAAATTGTGTTTGTTTAACTATTGCAAAAAAAATCCGAATGAATCTGTTACTCTACGAATTGTTCAAATT